CCCCCCCCATTGCAATTTCTTATCATTTTTACATTGTGAAAGAATGGCCTGTGCCAAAAAACAGTATTAAGTTTTTATTATTGAAAGAATGTTAATCACTATTTGTTACTTGTTATTGAAATAATAGCCTATGGTATCTCAACAATGTAACCATATTCTAAATGTCCAAACGTTCGCTTAAGACACAAGATTTGAAGTGGTACTCGCATTATCCCACAAGGGGTGTTTCAATGGGAACTTTAATATTGCAACCTTGGTGTTTAAACCAAACAAATTATCTTACTTAAAATTTAAAGTTAAAATGACGACTCGTCTTTTCTTGATACTCTTCCATATTTAGAAAAGAGGAAGAAAGTTAAATTCTAGCTTAAGATGTTTTTGAAAGAATTTTGCGATTTTCGCACTATTTAATATATTCAAGACCTTAAAGGGGCTTTAAACCCATTACTAATTTTCAGAAGTTTTCCGTAGCTTAATTTAATTTCAGCAATTAGAATATCATTTTTTCACTTCGTTTCGCTTTATACCAAATCGTCGATTGAGATTTAAACCCACTTTCTTCTGTAAATATTCACAAATACAGCTGCCTAAACATTGATTGAAAATAATATGGTTATGTACTGAATATTCTTAGAGTAAAACTTTTAAATAAATTCTGTAATGGTCACACATTGGACTCGATCAATAAATCAGGAATAATTAGGCTTCTGTAATTTCGCTTCAATTCAACATTTTACAATAATATGCTGAAGAATTTCAAGATCTCTTTGTGCCTTACAGAACATTAAAGACAACGGAGGTAAGAAGTTTGCAATTATTTTGTTTTGAGTTTTCTTGCGTTGTGCGTATTCTGTTCTGTTTATACGCAAATGTAGTCGTTAATTGTCATTACGTCTGTCAGGGACAGGTGTGCCATTTTCGGGAGGTTGATTTGAGAAAATTGATGCTGTCATAAAATTCACATAAAATTTTGTAGAAAACTTCTTAACAATTTCGTTAACACGGAAAATAAATGAGCGGAAATGCCAATTCCACAAAATCAGAAAATATTTTGTGACCAATAGAATTGTTCAATTTATAGAATAAATAGTAATTGAAACTATCAAAAACATATTTTATTGTGTCTTTTACTGTTAAAAAAAAGTGAACTGCCTGTGTTAATGTTGTAATGGTATATGCACTAATACTTTTTAACGTAAACAATCGAAATCACAATTTCCTACTATGTATCTTATATAATTTTTAAAATTTTTAAAATAATATTATTGTAATACATTTTAATCTGATTTTTAGTTTCCTTAAATAGTCAATTTTATGTCAATCATTACAAAAACATATTGACATATGTTAGGTATTTGATATTAATATCTGACATCTGATCAATATATATTATGTAAATAGACATTATTTAAACACATTGTTAATGTATTTACCATGGTTTCTCACTTTTTCATTATTATTATTACTTTTTAAAGGGAATAACAAGAGGTTTTTTTTAAAAAAAAGTTTATGTGTATCGGGGACACTGATAGCATCAATTTGCAGGTTCCAATTTTCTGTTAGACGTCCGAAGTTCCTGCAATTCCACTAAAACTAGGTGTTATTGATGAGGTTAGTAATTGCAAAATATTCACTCAAGGCCCTTCGCGACTAATGACGTCATCAAAACTCAGTTTTAGTGGCATTGCAGGAAATACATACATCTGATTGAAAATTGGAATGGTGCAAATTGATGCTATTCGCATAAAAAATTTTTGTAGAAAACCTCTTTACAATACCTTAAAAATTGCTTTGATATGACTGGGCGAGTTTGACACTGACTAACAAGGGGCGATACTACAGTATGTTTTTCTATCAGTATTGAAGATCAGAGGAACGGTATAAACATAGTAATAGTCTAGCTTCAGTACACATCAAGAGTGAAAACTACAACCCGAATTCAGGTCGTCTAAAGTATTTATGTATGCTACCTTTTATTTACAGACTCTAACATATTTATGGACGTAGAGAATACCATTACCATTAAGAACTGATATTCAACAGAGAATGTTGGTCCATTTCGGTGTACAGTGCCAGCAATCAGCTTAAAAAGAAATACGATAGTGTGCTAATAAAATACAACAGTGAGCTAATAAAATACAACAGTGAGCTAATAAAATACGACAGTGAGCTAATACAATACGATAGTGAGCTAATACAATAAAACAGTGAGCTTATAAAACACGACAGTCAGCAAATAAAATAAGACAGTGAGCAAATAAAATAAGACAGTGAGCTAACAAAATACGACAGTGAGCTCAGAAAATACGACAGTGAGCTAATACAATAAAACAGTCAGCTTATAAAACACGACAGTGAGCAAATAAAATAAGACAGTGAGC